CTTTCATAAGGCACTAAAGGCCTGGTTCTGGGCACAGGTCTGGGACCCTGAGTGCATAAAGGGGCCTGTTTCCTGGATGTGCCAGTGACTGTTGATTTTAATACCTTCCTCGGCTGCTATGTATTTTAATGTTTGCATTTGTAGTTGTAATTGTTTTTAATTTTATTTTAATGTTGTTCCCTGCCTAGAGTCACTTTTTGAGATGGGTGGACATACAAATTGAATTAATAAATAAATAAAACACTCCAAGTTAATAAATGTTTTGATCATCTCATAAATATATGTCTACCTCTTATCTCTTTCCATGAATTTACAATTTTGGAAGAAAGATGTAGATGGTAGATGCAATACATTAAAAACACTGATTTCATCTTCCATGCACACAAGGATCTCTATCAATGTGTGGCTCAGTGGTACAGCAAAATATACCAGGTTTGGTCTGCCGATAGGAAAAGCTCTCTAACTGAAACTGTGGAAAATAGCTACTGTTCAGTGAAGATAATACTGAATTAGACCCTAAAGCAACTTCTTTTGTGTAGGAGGCATAGTTAGGGGAAGATGCTTACTTGCTCATTTCCTTTCTACCTTTCGTGGTGCATATTAACCAGAGTGAAATATTGGCTAGGTTCACCTAACACAGATTAGCAATCTTTCAGGCACTAAATGCCATTGTATTTTGCAAATTGCTGAGACCATTTTTAATTTTAAACATTACATTTGTTTAATTTAAACAATCCCGTATTGTAAGATCTCATGCAACAACCTATTGACTATTTTGCAAGATTTCAGCCAAGTCTTTTTTTAAATTAATGTGTTTATATTTTGGTCGGCGGATGCCCTGTGGTGATGTTATAGGTACTATGGTATTCAGAGATATTATTATGTTACCATGTTTGCTGCTGAGCCATAATTTTGGTGTAAGACATTATATGAATTTGGCTATTGTGATTTGTAAAACATAGTTTATAGTATGTTACATTGTGCAAACCCACTAATTATGGTTTCTTTCATAAATCATGACTTAGTTTGATATGTGAACTCAGTTAATTTGCCTGTGTTAGGTTAGTGCTATTTAGGGTTGCCTTTGTATCCAGGGCTTGCAGGGTTTGTACTACTAAATAGGTTTTTGAGACCAAGCCTGGCTAATATTAGGCAATCATGGATACAAATGTAATGCAATTCTATAGAGGAAAGTGGAAGGAGAATTTGTGTTCAACATATTCCAGACATCCCAAATATGCCTAGGAAGTTGGGGATGTAACATCTGCATTAGACCAGTAAAAACATGAAACTTACATACCTCCATGTTAAAAACTAATAGATGCATTTATAAGTTTTGTTTTATCCTACCTTGATGTATTTTTACCTTGATTTTTCTTACCTTGTCCTTTGTTGCATTCTACCTTGTGTGCTGTGTTGTTCATCTGTTTCTGAGGCCATGAATCTCTGTTCATCTGTTTCCTCTCATCTATCCATTCAATCACTTTTAACTTATTGACAGACCAGAGCTCTTTATCTCTCTGCAATTTTTAAAATCACTGTCTGATGAACAAACAACCCATGTCAGCTCAGAATCTCAGTTTCCATAACCCACATCACCACAAATTAACTAACAGTATTTTAGCCTAATGTGTTGTGTGAATCTAGCACATGCAGTTAATTAGTTAATTAGTTAATTAATTAGTTAATGTCTTGTGAACTCATAATACTAGACTAATTAATCACAGATAAGCATTTTAGCTGTCTGTGCCACAGATTAGCATGATGTGAATGTGAGCATTCACTTGGCATACACCCATTACCAGTTACTGGGAAATAAAAGCTAACTTGAAACCATGTTAATGTTATTGCAGTTTTGTAAAAGATTATTTAAATGACTCATCACAGATTATACTTTTTGCATTTCCTTTTCATTTATCCCATGTGTTTATTATTTTTATTCTCCTTAATGTCATGCATAAATATATACTTGGAATTTAGGATGTTTTGTGATTTGGCTTAAGTATACTCCAGATTATGAAAGTTTATGCGATAATACATTTGTTGATATTTATTATTATACAAGTTTCTCTGCTGCTTTCGCAGCAGTTGACAGTATCTAGCTGCCTTGTCTGGATTCAGAACCTAAGCGAAATTGGGTCTGATTAGTACTCAGATGGGGCACACCAGGGAATTCCAGAAAAAAAATTAAGGAAAAAGACAGTGGTCAATAGCTTTCCTAACACTGCCAAGAAAACTGCATGGATGAAGGAGGTTTTGTTGCTGCAGCCTAGCATGGCTACAGTTTTGGAACCTCCAGATTTTAAAACTGGAATAATTTTCCCTGTTCTATTTTTTTAGAGTGTCTCAGCAATAAACTAGTATAATTTCAAATAATGGTGGTTATTTAGGCAATTTATTTATGTATATACAGTGGTACCTCAGGATACGAACTTGCCTCTACTTACGAACCGGATCCGCGGCCACTTTCCCTGCTGCCACGTGGTCGCGGCTTCCTGTGGGCGAGGTCGCGGTAGCAAAGAGATGTTTGGTGAGGCTTGTGGTGTGTTTTGCGGTGTTTTGCGAAGGTTTT